GTAGAGAATTTAAAGCGATGATCGGTGGCCCAAGACGACATGGCATAAATCGCAAGTTGAAGCCGCCGTTGGAGAAGAGGCGAATCATCAGCTTTACAACAAAAGATGAGATCGTCGACATAGAGAGTGGAGAAGACGCCAGAAGGTAGAGAGGAAAGAAGATCATTGAGGGCAACCAGAAAAAGAGTAGTGCTCAGAACACTACCTTGGGGCACACCCTCGTATTGCAGAAAAGAGGCAGAGAGAGTGGCACCAAGCCTCACTCGATAGGAACGACGAAAGAGGAAGCTATTGAGGAAGAGAGGAAGATTACCACGAAGGCCAAAAGAACGAAGTTGGGACAGAATATGGTATCTCTAGATGGTGCCGTAAGCCTTTTTCAGGTCAAAAAGGACGGCAACAACGGAGGTCTTTATTTATTTATTTATTTATATACAAGAAGGTACATTGGTTTTGTGAGGATACATAGCATTGTATTTACATTCTTGTAAAGCCACTAGTACGCATAGCGTTTCAGGCAGGCGCAGCAAAAGCAGTACGAATATAGATCTCCAAGTTCACCAGGACATCGGTTGTGCTGCGGCACTTGCGAAAACCAAATTGAGAAGGGGAGAGGTGGTGAAAGTGTTCTAGGAACCGCATCAGACGAACGTTAACCATACGTTCTGAGAGTTTGCCGACAACTCGTGACAATAGGGCGGAAGTCCTGAAGGGATGTTCTCAAGAGACCCTGGTTTACGAACAGGGAGGACAACAGCAAGGAGCCAGTCCTCAGGCACTGACGACTCCCAGACCCGGTTATACAGACTCGGCAAATACTGAGACGTGCACAGAGGGAGATGGGGAAGCATCTCAAATTAATGTCATCGGAGCCTGCTGCCGTAGAACCGCAAAGGGCCAGGGCAAACTAAATTTCAGAGACAGAGAAGGGATCATTATAGGGAAGTCTAAGATGGGTGCGGAAATCTAAAGGATGAGATTCAAGAACAGGTTGACGAAGAACGAAAGACTGAGGAAGATGAGAAACAGACGAACCAGAGCGAACAGACGAAATTTGGGAACCCAGGTTGACTGCGACCTGTGCTGGGTCCGGCACAAGAGTACCACGGAGGTAAAGGACTGGTGAGACATCGGGAACGAACTTATCCGCTATTTTGCAGATACGCTTCCAGATCTGCGGTAGAGGAGTTTTGGACGTAATGGTGGAAACATAAGACTTCCAACACTAACGTTTAACTGATCGTTACTACAGGCCACCACACTCGCCTTCCGAAACAAAAGAAAAGAATCAGCCGTCTGCCAGTGGCGGTGCCTCTTCCAGGCTTCACGCTTACAGTGGACTTCTCGAGTACAGTCTACATTCCACAGGGGAAAGCATTTCAGCGTGCCTCGAGAGGTAGAGCGAGGAATAGAGCAGAGGGCAGCTTCGAAGATGGTGTCATGAAAAAGAAGGAGGACGCGAGGTAGAGGCAGAATGGAGAGGTTGGAGAGAGTAGCACGGAGGGTAAATAGGTTCCAATCTGCCTTGGCAAACCTAGGGAAGGTGAGGGGAGGGTGAAAAGAGAAAAGGTAGCAAGGATAGGGAAATGGTCACTGCTATGGACATCATCAAGAACCCACCACATGAAATCTTAGTAAAGAGACGACGAGCAGAGAGAAAGATCATGACAGGACAAGGTGCAAGTTCGAGAGTCCAAATGAGAGGGCTCACTAGAATTCAGAAGAGACAGGGAAGAAGTGAGGACGAACGGTTCGAGAAGGCAACCTCGGGTGTTTGTCAGAACATCACCCCAGAGTATATGTCGACAATTGAAATTACCCAGCATACCCAGCAGGAGCACAGGCTCCGGCAAGGAGTCCAGTAGGAGTTTCAGATCGGGAAGAGAAAGCGGTACATTTGGAGGGAGATAAATGGAACAAACCGTATACTATTTACTCACAAAGACATGGGCAGCAGAACATTGGGGAGGCGATAGAAAGGGTAGGGGGACGAAGGGAATATAAGAACGAAATAAGAGAGCAGAAGTTATGGACCCCATTATATTATGGGGAAGAGAATGGAATAGCCACGAAAGCGACCAGGACGAGTACCAAGCATCGGCTCCTGGAGACAGACACAAAGGGGCGAAAAATTGTGGAATCAGAAGTTGGAGTTCATGGAAATTGGCGTAATATCCACGAATATTCCATTGAAGCATAGACATCGACAAAAAGAGAAAGGACAGGAACAGACAACAATGTAGAATCAAAGGTTTAAAAGGAACACAGCGCGTCAAAGAAGTGCAGGGTCAGCAAAGTCAGGGTTAGGGGGCATGCGTAAACTGAGTAAGGATGGAGGGAAGGGAGCAGGAGGACAGACCAGAGGCGGATGGGCAGGGTCAGAGGAGGAGACAACCGAGAGGGGCGGTCAAGGACAGCAGGAGGAGGAAGAAGGGCAGATACCTGGAGGGGGGCGTACCTCAGCCAGGGCAGCAACCGAGAGGGAAGCGGCGGCCAAATAAATCTCCATAACAGGAACAGGAGGCCCGACCACCAAAATGGGAGGGGACGGAGCGATGGAGACGGAGGTAGGGGCGAGAAAGAAAGCGATGCCTTCTAACCCACCTGGGAGGAGGAAGAAGAGTAGCCAGGCTAACATTTCTGACTCAAAGAGACAGGTGTTCAAGCAACAACGTACTTGGCGACAGATTCCAGAGTATCAACAGGAGAAGAAGAACGAGATCGAGCAACACGATGATTGCTGGGAGGAGGATGATAGACAACAACCTGTACAAACAGGCAGCGTGGAGAGCTAAGACATGGGGGAGAAGGACGGGAAGGAGGATCGGAGGTAGATGAGAAAGAAGACACAGGAGACATGGCAGACAGGGTAGTAAGAAGGGAAACTCCAGACGGTGAACTAGGAGGGAGGACCCTTCGGGATAGAATTTTGTGGAACAGGGGAGGAGGCGGTGGGCGTGTCCGGGTCTAAGGCCTGGAAACGGTTGTGAGACTGAGGAAAGTGGGAAGGGCGAAGAGAGGAAGATCGCAACACATGAGCATAAGACACGCCAGCGAAAAGGGTGAGATGGCGAACTTGGTGCCTCGTCTCTGGACAAGACAAACGATCCCGGTGTTTCAAGTTGAGGACGGCTGCCTCAAGTTTGTAATGTATACACGCACGGAAGAAGTTAGGATGAGTCTCACCGCAATAGAGGCAGCGAGCCTGGGGAGAGGTGCACTCCGACATAGAGTGACCATCATCCCCACACATGGGACTGAGGAAGTGAAAAATGGAACATCTGAGGGCACCATTTCCGACTTCCTTGTGATTCGTTCTTGTGATTCATGGACTTTTGTCACTGTCGAAGGATTAAAAAAATATAGACACAGTTGCAATTCTTGGCAAGTGTTCGTATATTGAATGAGACGCAGAGGGTAACTTGATGTTAAGGAACGAATGGTGTGTTCTTGTCTATTAGCCGATAGATAGAACGACACATCAACTGCGTACGAAGTTCCTCACAAGAATGCTGGTGCAAGGGGTTGCTAGGGCCTCCTTGAGCACAACCAGCAGGAAAATACAACTAACCAGTGATGTCACAACACCGGTGCCTAGTCCAATGATATTGACTCCTACATGATGGGTAGAAGAGTGATGTCATGAACACGTCACGACTACGTCAGGGTTCCCCATCGTGACGGATGAGGTTGACCCCAAAGATCAAGGCTTATTGCTCCGACCATGCTGGCGTCTCCTCTTCCACTGCCTGGGACCTTCTATCCTGTGTATTCTCTGACTCTCGTTTCTATGTCATAAATGCTTAATTCCCCATATCTAATTTTCACTAAGAATACGGCAGCCTCCGAATGATCCGTGTATTCCTGGGTATGTGGGCATTCCAAGGACACCCGACATGACAGTTTTCCACCCAGGGGTAAAAGAGATACGCGTTGTGCACTGCTTGGTGCACTGTGCACTGCATTAAGCCATTCACGTCAGATGTTGGAAAATCTTGAGAGACCATTCTCTCACAGTTGCATCCTGGAAAGAGTCATCAGTAGTTGGCCTAGGGGGGTTCTCGATTAGTCTAACAGGTGACCAATGCCCGACCATGGGAACCAAATATATTGTATACAGCAAAGGTTCTAGGGGTAAAGCCCTGAGGCACTCTACTTATAACGATTTCTAGTTCTCAGTGGAGTAACCACTAAACTAGTCAACGTGTCCTCTTCCCCACCTACACAGATTGTTCAGCTGCCCACATAACATCAAGCTCATTTCTAGCAAATATAAAGCAAGAACTTGTTTAAAATAACAACTATTCTTTGTTCCTGTCAATTACCTCACCTCTCCAATTTGCAATGGACCAGTCTTCTCCATAATCTTTGTATCTGTCCTGCTGGAAATTTTTCAACCCATCCTTCTGAAAAGATAGTAATTTTTATAACTATGTGATTGAAAGTACTAATTTGTAGTAATGGAGCACCAGTATGCCACTTTTTGTATTTTTTTATGTATTCCGCTAAAAAAAAGCTAAAAACCAAACCTAAATATTCAAAAGAGTAATGCAGCACATATAAATACTATATTAGGTCTCTGATAGCGTTTTATATTGATAGCTCTATATATATATTGATTGTTTTATATTGATTTTTTTTGATAGCTCTGATAGTTATATTATCTTTTATTAGCAACAAAAATATTAACATTTCTGGTTTTCCAAATTCATTAATTCAAGTCAACTTTGTGGTGGTCCATCACAACACATGTGTACTTTCACCAAGAGTTTCTATAAGTAATTTCATTTTATGAGGATGGACTGACTACCTATATTATTCTAGCTTAATTTAATTATGTTTAAACTTTTCTTACTGGTTTCAAAAATAGTTGTCCTAAATAGTCATGTCCATTCTTAATTTGTTTGTTTGCAGCCTTTTTGGTCGATAAGGTTCTTTTGTCTTGTGGTTATTCATTTTGTCACAGTTATTCGACCTAATTTTAAACTATTTTTCAGCAGGCCTCGTTTGTGAATGGTGGGTGGAGGAGACGTGGTGGAGGCAGGAAGAGTAGTGTTGGCGGAGGCGCAAGATGGGGAGCTGGGAACGCAGTATGTCCACGCACCTGACAGTGGACCTTTCTCTCCCTCCTGTCGACGACCACAACACAGGAGACCAGTCAACCACCACCAGAACCGATACTGAGCCGTGGGATGAGATCTCAATAAGGTAAAGCACACACACACACACACACACACACACACACACACACACACACACACACACACACACACACACACACACACACACACACACACACACACACACACACACACGCACACACACACACACACACACACACACACACACACACACACACACACACACACACACACACACACACACACACACAACACACACACACACACACACACACACACACACACACACTCCAGCATAAGTGGAGAAACAGGCAGGAGTAACTGGTAGGGCGCTCCAGTGGATGAGGGAGTACCTAAGCAATAGGAAGCAGTGACTTACAGTGAGTAAGCAGTCAGTTACAGTGAGGGGTGAGACCTCAGAATGGCGTGAAGTCACCAGTGGAGTCCCACAGGGCCTATCCTGTTGGACCTATCCTGTTTCTGATATACGTAAATGATCCC